ATACACACACATATACATACACACACACTAAATCTAAAGATTATTAAAAAATAAAGAACTCAAAATCCTCCATTGAATTTTGTCTATTCATTTGATTGTTATCTTAGATGTCAAAATCATTCAGTAATGTCAGTAATGTTTACAATAAATTCTTAAGTTTCTAAACTTGTAATACCCTTGTGAGTATAGAATCTGACACTTGTCTACTTTTTATTTTGTTGAGGTCTCTGGAATGGAGATCAGCTCATCACTTTCACTCTCAAGGTATACCTCTGATATAAGTGTATCCAAGGTTTTTCTTCAAAAGACAAGGTTTCAGAGAATGTGTCTGCGTCACTGTGTACCAAGGAACTGCCCAGTTCTGTGAGTGTACTTCTGCTCAAACTAGTCCCCAGGGAGAACCTATCAGAGGCAGGAGCAGCATCTGGTTTTTCCTCTTCATCAGGTTCCCAGATGTTCATCTCAGAAGCACCTATGTTCCTCTGCACACGTTTCAGGGCTTTCACCCTCACTTTATGGACAGAACGCATGACCACAGACATCAGTTCTTCAGTCTGAGGACCTAGGGGAAAAAGGACCAAAGACCTTAGGGGTCATTAAAATGTTTTAACTCAAGATTTAAGGCCAAGTACAGTGTAGCACATGCCTATAATCCCAGCACTTAGGGGGCAAAGACAAGAGGATCAGAACGGTCCTGGACAGCTTTGTCTACACACTAAGTTCTAGGCCATCCACAGCTACATAGCAAGCCTGTATCGAAGGAAGAAGAGGAGGAAGAGAGGGAGGAAGGAAGAGAGGGACCTAAGTCTGTCAGGGAACATGGAATCTACTAAGGCTGATTTCCACATTCTTACAGATTGGGTTTTTTTTATTATTTATTTATTTATTTATTTATTTGTATTTGTTGGAAAGCTATGGCCCATAAAAAAAAAGAAAAAAACAAAACAGGACTTTGAAAGCTGAATAAGTTTCATTAAGGAACAAGAAAAGGCAAGGAACTAAGATTACCTCTCTACCCCTTTTTAAAAAGTATATCCTCAGGGAAAATAATTTTAGGGTAATCTTGCACCAATTCAGGAGGCAACAACAGAATGTCAGCCACATCTAAAAACCAAACAAACAAAACCCACCACAGCTGAAGAAGGTATTTCTGATGCAGGTGTAATGGATGTTCATATGACTTTCTAAAAGGTTCTGAAAAACTCATACAGCCTGATGGCCTAACTCACAAAGCTGTGGAAAGCCAGACAGGCACCAAGCCCATCTTTGTGTGCTGGCATCCCTCCATGGGAAGCTACTGTGTGAAGACAGGTGAGGCCCTTTTTACAGAGCACCAAATCATCCTACTGAAGGTTGATGACAAAGAGAAATTAAGGGATAGGTCTCTGCAAAACTGATTTAAAGGAAAAGAAAAGGCCCATAAAATGACTGGTTGCAATTGTGTAGTAGGAAAAAAAATCTCAGGCCAATGGTGTCACTGAAAAGTACCTCATTACAAGAAATGAGCAAATAAAAGCAGTCTCATCTTCTTAAAAAAGAGACATAATTATGAATAAAGAATAACAAAGATTATTTTCTATTCCTAATGAAAGGGAAAAAAGAATTAGTGCTTTCTACTACATGTAATGAGAAATAATAGCAAGGTTAAGGTTTCCAGGATTGTCTATTAAAAATTTAAGCATTAAGAAGCAGGCAGATCTCTGTGAGTTCGAGGCCAGCCTGGTCTCCAGAGCAAGTGCCAGGATAGGCTCCAAAGCTAC